CCCTTAGTGACAAGGATCACATGCTCTCTTATTCACATCAAGTGAGAGAAAGGAACCATGTCCAATAATTTTGGGGCAAAAGCCCTGTGAGTGGTACTGATTTTCACAACCCTAAACAATTTATTGTGGTCAGGGGAACATCATACGTTGGAATTGGATTATCTTCATTGGACTAACTTTGGAGATAAGGGTGGGGTTAATTTCACCCAAACTTCTTAAGCGTATGCTGCACACTGTGGGAAGAGTGGAATAAATGTTGGGAAGACAATTACAGTGTCTACTACACTCCTTTTCAAAGTGTATAAATATATAACACTATATTATTTATGTCATAAAGAGTCTGACTCCATTTTTTATGGTTAATTATTGAAAACTTTCAAGCCCTACTACTCACCTGTTCCCGCTTGCCCCACATCTGGGCAAGCTGGCAAGAAAGCCTGGGTGCTACCTACTTTGGTAATGAGCCTTACCCCCGTATGGTATTTTTCATTCTAGCCATGAAAAAAATTCCAAAAGCTTTTTCTCCCACTCTCTCAAGCAGTTTAAAAACCTGCTTGGGCAGTCTGCTCTGCTCCTAGAAAAACACATTATGTGAATAATAAACCTTCTCATACCCTCTTGGTACATATGTGGTATTATATGTCTTGAAATATGAACCACATTTTGGGTGGGGGTGGAGGCCCATCTGATTTCTGAGGGTGACTACAACAGCATATAAACTAGTGATACTAATTTAAGCTAGTGTAACCTACCTGCTATGGTCTGAATGTTTATGTCCTCCAAAAATTCATATGCAGAAACCTAATCAATGTGATGGTATTAGAAGTTGGAGCCTTTTGGAAGTGAGGGCAGACACCTCATGAATAGTATTAGTGGCCTTAAAAGATAGGCAACAGAGAGCTTCCTTGCCTCTTCCATCATGTGAGGACACATCTAGAAGGAACTATCAATGATCCAGAAATTGGGCCCTCACTAGACATTGAATCTGCTGGTGTCTTCTTCTTGGACTTCCCAGTCTCTAGAACCGTGAGAAATAAATTTGTTATTTATAAGCTACCTACTATTTTGTTATAGCAGGAATAAACTAAGACATCACATTAGTGTTTCATTATTTTTATTGTCAAGTATACCATCTTTCTCCTGAATCTCCTACCTCTTTGACTAGCACCAGAAACCTGGGATACAGCTTCTGTCTTTCTTCTTTTTTGTTGCCCGTGTGTCTTTGAAATCCTCTTTGCCAACTTCATGAGTACCATTTTGGCCCAGGCCTTCATAATTCCTCATTCTAGTTATTTCATGGCTTGGATCCCTAACTCCTACCCAATAATTCATCCTCTACATTGCTGCTGAAGTAATTCTCCCCCAACCTTGCTTAGCTAATCCAGCAGTCATCCATTACCTTCAGGATACAGTTCAAACTTCTTAGCACAGTTTGCAAAATACTTGCAGTTTCTCCTGCCATATTCCTACATACCACCACCTTTGCTTCCAGTATACCTAGCTATAAAATATATTAACCTCCGCAGTTCACAGGCAAGGAAACACATCCAAAAGTATATATTTCTATGTCTGGAGCACACTCATGTCTCTCTTTAGCTTGGTCAATTCCTACTGATTTTTCAAGACTCCTCCTGAACTTTATTGCATTCTATGAGAAATACTTCCTGATGAATGAGGTGCTCTTCCACATTTTAGCAATAAACTTGATTTTTTTTTGGTGCTTATCATCACTGTAATATTGGATTTTATTATTTGTATTTTTCTCCAGTTTTGATTCTCTTGAGGGCTGATGCCATGTTTCTCATCACAGAATGTTATAACTTATTATGGTAATAGGCCTACGGATACATGCACAACAAAGGTTAATAATAATACAAGATGGCTTATAAAAAGTACCCTAAAAAGTAATAGAGGTATATGGTCTAGAAGAGACAAGAAAAGGCACAGCAGAGAAATTAGAGCCTTCATGCATTGCTCTTTCCTCATTTACTTTCCTCATACAATAGGAAAGCAAAATGGTATGGCCATTTTGGAAAAAACAGTCTGGTAGTTTCTCAAAAGGTTAAACATAGTGTTGTCACATGGTCCAGTAATTTCACTCCTAGGTATATATTCAAGAGAAATGAAACCATATATTGACATACAAACTTGTACATGAATGGTCAAAGAATTATTCATAATATTCAAAAAACAGAAAAACCCAACCAATGAATTGTATAAAAGAACTTTGTAAACATGATGCTAAGTGAAAGAAGTCAGTCAAAAAATACCACATATTGCATGGTTTCATTTATATGAAATATTCAGGACAAATATATGGACACAGAAAGTAAATTAGCATTTGCCTAGGTCTGGGGAGAGTCAGGAAGAGATGGAGGAGTAGGGGTGGGTGACTGCTGAAGGGTATAGGTTTTTTTTTTTTGTCAAATATTCTAAAATTGATTGTGGTGATGGTTGTACAACTATGTGAATATACTAAAATAACTGAATTGTGCATTTTATTTAAAAAGACAGATTACTACGGGGAAGGGAGAAAAATTTAATGGAGGGGTGGGATTTGGACTCACTGATAAACGAGCTACATGAAAAGCAGATTGGTGTGCTGTAGTGAATAAACAAGTCTTGCTGTTGGGCAGATCTGGCATTAAATTCTGTTCTGTCACTTGGTCAATTTATCCTCCCTAAGTCTGTATCCTCATCTAGAAAGTGAATATATTAATGTACCTACTTTGTGATTACTGAGATGACAAATTAGATAATGTATTTAAAAGACTTAGTCCAGGCTGGGCATGGTGGCTCACGCCTTTAATTCTAGTACTTTGGGGGGCCGAGGTGAGAAGATTGCCTGAGTCCACGGGGTCAAGACCAGCTCGGGCAACTTGGCAAGACCTCATCTCTACAATAAATAAAAAAAAATAAGGCGGGCATGGTGGCACATGCTTGTAGTTCCAGCTACTTGGAAGGCTGAGACAGAAAGAGCACCTGAGCCCATTAGGTTGAGGTTGTGGTGGCCGTGAGTGTGCCACTGTGCTCCAGCCTGGGCGGCAGAGTGAGACTCCAACTAAAAAAAAAACCAAAAACAAATAGTAGCCCGATGTCAGGCACATAGCAAATAACAATAAATATTAGTTACTTTTATTATGATAAATCTGTTTAATATTGAATATTGGATTAGGTGGAACAGAGTAAATATGCAGATTTATCAATGGAAACTTCTAGAAGTTTCCAGCATAAAGAGTAACGAGAGTCACAATGATATAAAGGTAATTGTACTAAACTTAAGAATTGTTTCAGAAACTTAGACTACGTTTAAGTTATTGAGTACCTTTTTCCAAATTACTAGACTTGATTGCTTGATAGCTGGGTATACAAAGACAAATGAGAAGTAGATGGATAGATATACAAATGAGAAGTGGTTTTTGACTTGGTGGTCTAGGAGACAAGTAAATACATGTAAAAAAGCATCATATTTTCTATAATAGAAATATGGTAGTTGTATGCACAAAGAAGGGTTGGAAAAGTGCTATAGAAAAGGTGACCTGCTTAAAAGTGAAACTGTTCATTAACCCCTTAGGCCTGAACTTACTGGAATCTTGTTACCTTGTTACCTTGCTAGTACCTTCCACTTCCACTTCAGCGGAGAGATTACAGGTTTGAGCCCATTTTGTTCGACGTCTAAGGGTTAAAGAATGCCTGTTATACAATGTTCAAAGTACTCATATTGGCTGGGTGTAGTGGCTCATGCGTGTAAATTCCAACACTTTGGGAGGCCAAGGTGAGAGAACTGTTTGAGTCCAGAAATTCTAGACCAGTCTATGCAACATAGCAAGACCTTGTCTTTACACAACCCCACAATTAGCCAGGTGTGGAGATGAACACCTGTAGTCTCAGCTGCTCAGGAGCCTGAGATGGAAGGATTGCTTGAGTCCAGTCAGTTGAGGCTGCGAGGCACCAAGATCTTGCCACTGCACTTCAGCCTGGGTGACAGACTGAGACATTGTGTCAAAAAAAAAAAAAAAATACAAAAAGGAAAAAAAATTACTTGTCTTTCTCACTGTAAGTTCCTTAAGATCTCACTGTAAGATCTTGAATGTATTGTGTTCACTCTTGAATTGTCACAATTTGGCTATATGGTATATACTCAATAAAAATGAAGTAAATGGTCTCCAAATCCCTCCCACAGCAAAAATGAAAGAATCTTTAGCGGACAGCTGGTTGACTGTTGCTATCAAATTGCTATTGACAGTATGAAATGGACCAAAACAAACAAACAAAAACCCCAAACCAAAACCAACCAAAAAAAAAACACCTCCCCCCACAAAACTATATAACCAGTCTTCCTTTCAAATAGAAATCTGCCAATTATATCTTTTTTTTTCTTCAGGAGAGACCAAAGATTTTTGAAAAAGGGGGCGGCTTGGTCGCTGAAAGTAAACTCTGCAACAGATATGGCATGTATGAACTGCTGTGATCTGGAGCTGAGGACAAGAACAAAAGGAATTCTAGAGCAGCCACACAGTGGTCTAGAGAGGCTCTTAGCTTAGATGCATCCTGGTGCTTGAGAGTTCAGAGAGCAACGTGAAGACTTTCTCGTCAACACCCACTTGTCGAGCACTTACATGTACGGCACTTTGCTCAGGTCTAGTTTTTATTGAACTCTGCTTGGAAATGGTGAGGAGATTAGGTGGGCTCTTTTGGGACCCATCCTACAGAGTTCCAGATAGAACTCATTTTGATTTGGGAGATGGCTTTACATGCAGTGATGAAGTCTAGAAACAGGGCCTCCTGCTTAAGAGGAATGAGAGGCTGTAATTAGGTGTAGGTGGTTATTGAGAAGGCGCAGGGTGGCCAAAGCCAAAGTAAAAAAATATGGCAACTCTCTACAGACCAGGCACCACCAAGTAGGGGGGGGTGGCTTCAACCTTGGGCCCGAGCTCGGGCCTCAGCCTGGGGCACGTGACGCGTGTGTCTACGTTGAGTGACGGGCGCAGGGTTGGGCGGGCCTTGGAGGAAATCAACTTCCGGGGGCAGAGGTGCTAGAAGCCGGGTGGCGCGTGGGCTACCTTAACTTGTGAGACTGGGGCCGCGGTCTCCCCCGGAGGGTCTGGGGTCGTGCCCCGGGTGTGCGCGTGCGGGTCTGAGTGCTGGGGGCGGCTCACCCGCCGGCGTGGGGGAGCGGCGCGGCGGCGGCGAGCGAGATCGGGAGCAGGTAAACGGACGCTCGCCTTCCGGGGCCTGGGTCTTGGGGCCGGGGCCGCGTGAGGCGGGCGGGGAGCGCCCCACCCGGTCCAGAGCGCGCCCGAGGTTCCGCCGCCCGCCTGCTGCGGCCTCCCGGGGCGCTAGCTGGGCCTGGGAGTCAGGGGGCGTGACCCGCCTCCGGCAGGAACCGAGCCTGGACCCGGAGCGGGCAGTGCCTACCCATTCTTGCTGTCGCCTGCACCTATCGGCACCTGCACGTTTCCCCATGGAGTGTTTTCGAAAGTCTACGCACAAGTACACGTGACTATTGTGTCACCAGGCTCCCGCCGAACGGAGCTGTTGATCCTCGCCGAGGTTTCACCGAACGCGCCTGGCTTTGGCATCCCCTTTTTCTTAGCCAAGTACACCGGGGTAAAGCTCTTCTGCCGTCCGCCAGCCACATGTTGCAATAAAAGTGGCATTTCGGGGTTAAGCAGGAGTCAGTAACTTCGCCAAGTGGTGAGATGTTCTTCGTCCCGCACAGGCGCGCCCCTTTTTCCCACAATAAAGACGTTTCCTCCATCTGCGCGTGTCGCGTACTGCAGAGGAAAGCTTTGGGCATGGAACCTATTTTTGGCTTCACATTAACTCTATTAAAAGCAGCACTGAGTGTTTTTTTGGTAGGATGCTGCTGCTGCTGCTACTCTCACTTGCTTCCCCGATGAGAGTTGGGGCTGAGCCTGGTTTCCTGGAGGGTAAAATCTTGGCCACAACTGTAGGTGACTCAGCGGCTCCTTACGAATTCGGACTCCTTTCCCGCCCCGTCAACTGCAGATACTGATGCCACCTTCCTCTCCAAATATTTATCCGGGTGGGAGTTGGATGTTGACTTTTGGAAGAAGTTTGCATGTTGCTTGATGGAGTGCTTGGGGTAGGCTAACATTTCACTTCACAGTTTAAGGCAAAAAACAAAATCCAAGGCCCCATCATGTATAGGCCCCATCATGGGTGGGGTGACAGGGACTGAAATAAATTCGATGTGTTCTCTACTGTTGGAAAGCTCTACACGTGTTCATTACAATGCTGTCTGCTACAATTTCTGTTGCGTTGATGACATTGGTTATAGGGTACCTGTTAGGTAAATGGGTCACGGAGGATGCCAGACAGAGTGGACCTGTGTGGTGCCTGCTAACCTGTAAATTGTGTGGTAGAAATTGCCCTGTTTACAGAGTTTGGTATCCTCCAGGCTGCCTCGGAGGGTGTTTTGTGGTCTGGGAAATCTTATTTTGAACTAGTTTCCTGGTAACAGTATAAGCCACATGGAATAAACATAAAGTGATGAAAGTTACAACTTTTTAAGTTTTATTAAATGGAAAAATGTAGCTTCTTATTGTTTATTTTGATCATCTTGCTACTTAATAACAGACAAAAAGAAACTGCAGAAAATCATCCCAGAGGGACATCACTTTTTGTGTGACAGTACAAAGTAAGAAAGATGGTTAGCCTTTCGCTTATCTGAGGCTTAAATGGACAGGTAGGAATTTGCCTAATATGAGGCATTTTATGTTGTACCTTTAGCTGTAGATGTAAGATTTGTAAATAATGAATAAAGACAACTAAAGTTTTATTACCTTTCTCTTGATAGCAGATGTTGGGGTGGGAGTGGATTGGGGTGGATGGATAATGAGACAGGTTCCACTTAGTGAAGTGGAAGAGGAGTGTTTAGGTTATTTCCAAACACTAGCTTACAATCACAGTGCTCCTTTATTAACCTGTTTCTTATGACTTTTGCTCTTTCTTGAAAACTCACCATATTTTATTTGGTGTCCAAATAATGAGAACTTAATAGAAAAGCACTCTTTAACTCTTGTGTGAATGTATGTTCTGATCTTATTTACTAATAATAAATTAGTAAATGTATTATTTTTAGATTTGCAGTATTTTAAGGAACAGTAGGGAGATGTTCCTCCCTGCGCTATTCTGGGTTTAGCTCATTTAAATTGATGCTTATTTTTTAAAAAGGTATATGTTGCTTCTTTTAAAAATTATGGTTTATTGAGGTATAATTTACAACAAATAAAATAATTTTTAATATATTGTTGTATAAACTCTGATAAAATATATATGGTCTTGAAACCACCACCACCATCCAAAGAGCATTTCCATTGTTCCAAAAAGTTCCCTGTCCTTATTCATAGGTCCTGGCAACCACTGATCTACGCTCTGTCCCTACAAGCTTTGTCATTTCTGGATTGACATATGATTGGAATCATACACTATATAGCCTTTTGTTTCTGGTTTTTTTTTTTTTACCTTTTGTGATTCATTCATGATGAAGCATGTATCAGTGCTTTGTTCTTTTTCGTAGCTGAGTAGTATTTTATTGTGTGACTATATCATAATATGTTTATTTACTCACCAGTTGGTGGACATTTAGGTTGTTTCCAGTTTTTGGCATTTAGGAATGAAGCTACTGTAAACATTCATGTGCAATTCTTTGTACATTAAGGTACAGATCTTTGTGTAGATGTATGTTTTCATTTCTTTTGGTTAAAGATCTAGAAGTATGATTCTTGGGGCATGTGGCAAGTGTATTTTTAACTTTGTAAGAAATTACCAAACTGTTTTCCAAGATAGCAGTTTCATTTTTCATTCCCACTAATGATGTTTGATGGTTCCAGTTGCTCCACATCCTGGGTAGTACTTGTCATTTTATTTTTCATTTAATCTATTCTACTGGGGATTTAGTGATAACTCATTGATTTTGCAATTTGAATTTTCCTTTTGATAAGTATGTTGAGCATTTTCTCTTATGCTATTATTTGCCATATGTGTCTCTTTGGTAAAGTATCTGTTGAAGTCTTTTGTTCATGTTTTTATTGGGTTGTTTGTTTTCTTACTGTTGAGTTGCAAGAGTTTAATATAGTCTGGATACAAATCCTTTATCACAAATATGTTCACAAACATTTCCTTTGAGTCTGTGGTTTGTTTTTCATTTTCTTAACAGTGTCTTTCAAAGAGCATAGGTTTTAAATTTTGATAAAATCCAGTTTATCAGTTCTTTAAATTTTTTGTGCCTTTGTGTCCCAGAAATCTTACCTAACTCAAAGTTGCAAATACTTTTTCTTATGTTATTTTTTCTAGGACTTTTATAGCTTTTAGATTTTACATTAAGATCTGTGATCCATTATGTTCAATTATGTGTACACACAGACACATACACACAGACACACACACACGGTGTGAAATAGGGGTCATGTTTCTCTCTCTCTCTGTGTATTAATGCACAAGGTCTGCAGCACTATTTGTTGAAAATACTATTCTTTCTATCCTTCATTAAATTTCCTTGGCACCTTGGTCAAAAATCAGTTAATTTTTGTGTATGTGTGTATCTTTTTCTACACTCTATTCTGTTCCAATGTTCTATTGTTTCTCCTTTGGCCAAAACTGAAGTCTTTATTACCATAGCTTTATAGTATGTCTTGAAACTAAGATGCCTGAGTCCTCTAATTTTGGTGTTATTTTTCTGAATCATTCTAAAGAAAGAAGCATTCTAGCTTCTTTTCTTAACATGTATTTTTTAGAATCACCGTGTCTATTTCTGTATGAAAGCATTGTGGGATTTTAATTGAGATTGCATTAAAGTTATAGATAAATTTAGAGATAATTTTTTTGTGAGGGAGTCAGGATCTCACTCTGCTACTCATGCTGTAGTGCAGTGGCATGGCCATGGCTTGCCACACCCTTGACCTCCTGTGCTCAGGCAATCCTTCCACTTTAGCCTGAGAGTAGCTGGGACTACAGGCAGGTGTCACCATGTCCAGCAAATTTTTTTTATTTTGTAGAGACAAGATCTCTCTTATGTTGTCTAGGCTGAAGAATTGACATCTTAATATTGTTTTCTAATTCATTAATACAGTAACTTTCTCCATTTATTTAGATTTTTGAGTTCTCTAAATGCTTTAAAGCTTTTAGCATAAAAAATGTTCGTATTTTGTTATGTTTGTGTCTAAGTGTTTCACATTATTTTGTGTTGTTGTAAATGGTAACCTTTAAAAATGTTTTAATTTCAAATTACTTATATAAATTGATATTTTAATAGTGACCTTAAATTTACAACCTTATTGACCTCATTAATTAGTTCTGGTAGCTTTTATAGATTCATTCTATGTAGACAATAATACTATCTGCCAATAGAAACAGTTCTATTTCATATTTTCCCACCTGTTTGCCTTTTCTTGTCTCATTGCACTGGCTACGACCTCCAGTTATGTTGAATAGGACAAGTCGGATGGATCATAGCAGACATTCTTGCATTGTTCCTCCTTTTTGCAGAGAAGCTATGTAGTCTTTTACCATTGAGTTGTTAGCTATAGGTGTTTTGTAGATACCATTTTGATCCAATGGAGAAAGTTCTTATTAACTCCTGGTTTGCTTAGAGTTTTTAAATTTAATCATAAATGGATGTTTTATAGCTTTTTAAATTGCAGACATTGTAGTTGACTCTAGTAGAAAATTGGGAAATAAAACAATTCTATAAAAGGAATAAAAAACAGTTACCTTGGCTGGGTACTGTAACTCATGCCTGTAATCCTAGCACTTTGGAAAGCTGAGAAAGGAGGATTGCTTGACCCCAGGAATTCAAGACCAGCCAGGGCAATATAGTGAGTCCTTTTCTCTCTCTCTCTCTGTGTGTGTGTGTGTGTGTGTGTGGCGGGGGCGCGGAAGCTTGGCATTGTAGCGTATACCTGTAGTCCCAGCTACTTGGAAGGCTGAGGCTGAGTATCACTAGAGCCCAGGAGTTTAAGGCTGTGGTGATCCAGTATTATGCCACTGCACTCCAGTCTGGGTGACAGGAGTGAGACCCTGACTCAAAAAAAGAAACCAAGAAAACAGTTGTTCTATTTCCATTAATTGGAGGTAATTCTTGCTAACATTTTGGTGGCTTTTCTTTCAGTCTGTTTTCTTTTACAAACATTTTTAAAACAAAATTATGAACTGTTTTATGTTTGACGACGTCACTCATAAATA